TTACCTCTCTGAACACACTCTTCCAACCCCTCTTTTCGTCTTTGATAGAATTGTTTAACAATTTCTGTCGAAATTGGCACAGGCTTAGATACTTATTTTTGCACTAACCAATTTTATTAGTCTATCTCTCTCTCCCAACTCATATGACTCTTTTACTAAATTCTTTTTTAGTATCAGTTTAAATAATTAACTGTACTTGAAAGTTAATGTCTTGTTGTTCTTTTACTGGATTATTTATAATAATAACTAAAACTGAAAAATAATGTGACTATACTAAGATAATAACTATATTAAATATAACTATAATAAAATCTATTTAATTTAATTCAGTTTAACTAAAATATAAAAAACTAAAACCAAACTGTTCAAATCACTCTATATATTTAAATTGAATATTCTAGTATAAATATATTTGTCAAAATTTCTTCAAAAATATTTTAGCAAAGTTTCAATGAGTTGCATACTAATTATTAATTAGTATTTTAACAGAATTTTAGTTTTGACAAATTTCAAAATTTGACAAAATTTCAGTATCTTTTATCATTAATAGTTTATTATAATTTTAACAAAATTTAGATAGTTACTAAGAGATTTTGGCAAGTATCCTTATTCTAGTATTCTTAGTCTAGCAATCTTTAATTCTCATATTTTTTTATAATTTCTTGGGGATAATAATTGCAATATTCATATCTACATTAAAAAAAATGATAATGATAGTGACAGCAGCAATTACTCAGAAGATTTTTCAATCCAGAACTTGATATAGTTCACATATATAATGGGTGCTCAATATAATAACGTAATTGGATAATGTTATAATCAGGTCGAAAATTTTACTGCATCAAACAAAATGTTAGTATAAAGAATGTTACTATAATGAGTATTTTATATTCCTAATAAAACTCAAAGTAAGAATTCCTTATAAAGAAATGTATTATATTAATATTTCTTGAAATAGTAAATTAGTCAATACTACTGTTCAGAATCTATATTCATTTTATAAAGCAGGTGACATTGACATGTCGCCTGCGATATTTAATAAAATAACAAGTACAAGCAAAGAAAGAGTTTTAGTTTTTTAGAATATATAAAAAATGAAAATTTACTTTGACTAGTTTTTACACATAAAAATATTATGTATTTGTAGTATATATAAATATCAGTTTTGACCTAACGGTTATTTGTTAAATATATTAATATATATATCAAAAATTTTACAAAAATGTCAGTATCTTCATGAATGTTTGTCCAAAATTATGAAATTTTGGCTAAAAGATTTGCATAACTCTGGCCAGATTTTCACCATGATCCAGATGCGAATCAATGAAATCTATAATTATTTAGTTTTTTTGTTATCCGGAATCTGCTGTTGCCCTAAGTTAAATAATGAAATGATATTTTTTACCAGTGTGTATATATACTTGGCATCTTTTCCTATTACAAGCTGAAAATATTATTTAAATTAAAATTACAGTTAGAGCTGGTTACAGTAACATGATTTGCTTGGTTCAAAAAATTTTTTTTATAAAGTAGCATTAATAGTATTTGAATATAATAATATCATCAAAACCTCTCCCCCGATCGTGTTACTGTAACCAGAGTTGACTGTACTTTACTTAGTACTAATTGAATTCAATTCAGGAATATTGTTTTTATTATTAATCTAGATTCGAGTACATGTCGATGTATATCGATATGTAGTAAATTTGTCTATATCGATATATATACTGTATATCGATATAACTTTTCACTGGGAAGATTTATCCACTCATGTGACACAGATTTTTTTTAAAAGCGACACTTTTTTTCAAGATTCCGTTTAACGTTAAATGACCAGATGTTTTCGATCAGGTAAAATCGGGGCTGTATGACAGCGAAATGGAATAACGGTTTTTGCGAAATTTCTCTATTACCATAGTGATATGCATTAACGTTAAATAGAGTATTCAAAGATGCAAAAAAAAACAGGCGTGCATATTTTGGCCATAGAAATCTTTATGAAGCGATCTAAAAAAAACAGTACGTAATACGTACGTATCGATATACGTACATGTATTTATTTGATTTCTTTTATTGTATCAATAAGTTACGTATAAAGCTAACACCAATTCTTATATAAATAGCCTACTTGCAAACTTTTTCAAAAAATCCAAAAATTTCACTGTCTAACGTTAACATAATAATCATCATGCGTGCAAACATTTTCTTAATCGCTTTATTTATTCTATCCATTTTTGCGACGACCTTTGCAATTCCACTCGACCTACGAAGTGTTCGTATTACTAGTGGTGAACCTGAAAGTGTTCGTATTACTGGTGGTGAACCTGAACCTAAAATTTAATAATTCTCCAAAACATCATAAGGGAGTTGGTGGACAATTATCAATTAATAATACACATAAACTTTTTATAAAATATTATTCTTGTATTGTTTATTCTCAACATAATTAGAAAAAGAAATGATTTTTTAGCTATCCTAGTCTTTTGTGAACATACTGTATACATGTATATCGGTATTTACTTATTTAATCGTATAAAAGTCAATAACGAATTGTACCTATTACATGTACATGTATTATTTTAGGTCCATTAAATGAGTGATATAGCAAAATTCACTAGAATATACGTATGCAGAAATAAAATAAATTCTGTAAATTCTTAAAGCAGGCATACATAACTTAGCGATAGAAGTTTGATGCAGCTAAAAAAAAAGTTATATATATTTCAATAAACAGGAACTACATGTACTTTATTTGCTAATTCTTACGTAATAATCACCATCTTGATCGCTTTATTTATTCTATTCATTCTTGCGACAACCTTTGCAATTCCATTCGACCTACGAAATGTTGATGTTGATAATGCTGGTGTTGATGGTGTTGGTAAAAGAGCATTTGTGTATATAAGTTACGCATTAACAATAACGTTAAGTAGGGTGCCACAAATCACAAATTATTAGTTAGACGTGTCTAAGGGAACTTCCTCCTTTCCCCATATCAAAAGTATGGCTCTTCGTTTAACATAACGAGAATAAAATTAGAGCAAGGTTATATAAATCATCATTATTTCAAGTTTAACTTTTTATTTAATGTAGTAAAGAAAGATGGAACCTAACATTTCGAATGTAGTAAATGTTCGATTGGTGAACACTTACAATTGTAGTAAATGTTCTATTGTCAAGAAATTAAGTACAGTTAAAGTTCGATAAACCGAAGGTCTCGGATTATTCAAGAATAAGCTTCGCTTAACGTTATAAAGTACTATTTATGTTATTTTTCGTTATATCAAGCTCTTTGTTAATAGGTTTGTTCCTGAAAATTCTTCGTTTTAACGCGAGTTCGCTTTATCGAACTTTAACTGTATACTCAAACCTCGTTATAGTGAAGGCAATTGGGCAAGGGAAAAAATCTTCACTAATGATATCAAAATCATTCAATTTGGATCACTAGATGCAGAGATATCATGCCTCAAAAATACAATACAAAAATCAGGGTAAAAATTTTTAAAGAAAATGTTTTTAAAAAAAATATTTTTTTATTATATTAAACTAAATTACTCAAGATAAATGTCCGCCACTGAGATGGTGATTTTAAAGTAGCAAAATTTCAATGTCTATAACCAACTATGACCTCATAGAAATCATCACAATTACAGTGAAATTTGAGATAAGAGAGCAATTCGTTCCGAACATATTGTCTCATATATCAAAAGAACTCTTATTAATAAAGATAATTTCACAAAGGATGGGCAGTTTTGTGTCGTTCCTTTTTTCTTCGATATTTTTTATTGGTAACGGTAAATGAGTATTATTAGATTCGTTATCAGCAAGGTTTGAGAAAAAAATACTATAAGCATATTCAAGTTCTATTTCAGAGAACTCAATATTTTCATCAAGAGACATAATTTATAGTTTAGATGAATATAAAAATATATTATAAAGCAATTGAGATTTTATAGTTAAAAATATACAAAGCAACATTTTGATATAATAAAAAGTTATGCATAACCCGTTTTTTAGCTAACAAAACTAAGCATTCATATTGATAAAGACATACGTAGATGGAACTATGAGTTTGTGCATATTTCAGACGAGCATTAAAACGTACGTAATTCAAACTATATCCAAACCCTGGCTGGTTAATATTGAACTACTTAACAGCTCTAATTCAACCGAAATATCTATAACAAAAAATAAAAAATGATATGATCATTTTGAAAATATCTAAATATCATAACGTATACGTATGTCTACATCATTTTATGTTATCAAAAATTTAAATGCTTAAAGCAATGTGAATTTTAAATTTTTAGAGTTACCGTTAAAGAGCATTTTTTTGGACTGGCGATTAAAATTGATAGTACGTACCAGTACTCATTTTTTGGGCAATATACGTACAATCATGATTTTAAATGCACCTTTTATTAGCGTTAATAATATGCCGTTACATAGAACGAGCTAAAATTTTCTTGTATCTTGTATTATCTAAATATTCAAGTGTTTTTATAAATTTCAATAAAACTTAACGAGTTCCGTCTGTAAGTTATGTTATATATAAAAGGCTTCGAATTTAAAATTTATTTCTTAATAGTAATATTGAGAAATACAGTATATAAAATTAGCTCGATAATGATTATTGAAGTTATGACTTGGATAAATTTTTTAATTTTATGAAAGAAAACATTGAATTCCTTTATTATACTTACTGTTACAATGAATAAATATATTTTATGAATGGCAAATATCTAACATCGAGAGTGAGAATTATTTTACTTCATATTAAAAAGTTACTAACTATGATGGTATAGAAGAAACATCAAGGAAAAAAAGCCACAGATCGAACCTCGTCTATTCCTTTACCTGTTCCTCTGGCAGCAAATACGGCAATAATTCTAACATCAATTCACCTAGTCGTGGATAATTACTTGGATTTGCATTAATACGTTCGAAACCTTCTGACTTTCGAACGCGCGTAAAATTCTCAGCCACGTATTTGATCGCGTGATCTTTAATGTCAGGCCATTTCCATGCTACTCCAAATAATAGTTCGGCTGCATTGTTATCATTCAAATCTCGGCATAATTTTGCTTTTGCACGTTGTCGTAAATCGGTGACTAGGTATTTATCGGCAATGCTAAATAAAGCAAGTGCAGTTTTGTGAGATGCTTCTCGTTTGTCGAAGAGCACTCGGTCGGTATATAGAAATCGAAGCATTTCGAGAAATGTGATGTGATGGAAATCGGTCACTTCGATAGAATATTTTAATGATGATGATAGAACATTAATGGTACTGCTGCTATTACTATTTGTTGATGTGCTGGTTTTAATAAGCGTGGTTGTTGTGTTTGCAATACTGTTATTAATAATTCCGACTTGAATCTGTTGATTCAATAATTCCGTAGATGATGAAGGTTTATTAAATACACCGAAATTACTGCTTTCTGAAGAAACGATGTTTCCATGCGCAACCGTTGGTTCAGATTTCAATGACTTTTTTTGATATTCCGACCATTTTTGTTGGAATAATTTCTGAAAATATTCTGATCTTTTTGATAAAATTGAACTATGGGCATAAATCATTTGACCTTGAACATTGAATTGTACATCGGCAGTTTCCACTTTGTTTAATTGTGTGGTCCAGGCATCAGTCAAATTATCAGGAATCGGGATTACAGGAAGAGGTCCAGCTTGTGCTAAAGGTCGAAATATCGTTTTATCGAAATCAACACCAAGTGTAAACTCGTCTGGTAATAAACTTTTTTTATAAAATCTATTTAAACCTATAAGATTAATCGTTAGACTTTCTACTCAACTGCATGCAAAAAATTATTTCAACAATATTATAATAATAATACCATAACCAGCCCATTTCGAACAAAAATTATCCATCCCTATACTAAAAGTTTTGACATAAGGACTGCAAAAGTATAATCGGACATTTAATCGAAGCCCAAATGTAAATATTGTAAATCAAAAAAGTTTACAACAAACACATACGTATCAGATTGGTATTGGAGCAAAGGAGTTCGAAGATACAACGTGGCCGACACTTGACTTCTTCGTGACCATGATGTCGTTAAATGCTCTTCCTCGCCATTGGGTATAGCGCAAAGAAACAATGAAAAAAAATCGGGGTCCTCTTTATAAGACTAGAAAAAAAATTTAGATAGACACTTGATTTAAAAATATTTGACGTTAACGTTAACGTTAACAATCAAAATTACAAATACCGGTACGAATTTCAATTGCCAAAACATCTCATCTGAAGTGGCGAACGGCGGGCTGTAAACTTCACCGTTCAGTTTCGAAACTTCGAATAAAGTATACTCGAAGGATCCTTTAGATCTAACTGTCTGCATACTCGCGTTCATTATCTTCAGTTGTGGATTTTTTTATTATTAATTACTGTTGGGAAAAAAACGTAAACGTTTGCTCAACTCAATTGATCAACACCATCGATATCGATATTGTCGACGATATTGACAAGTTTGTAATATACGTTTGATATAAATAATGATCTACAGCACGTAGTTGGCTTCGGATTGGCTACTGACCTAATGTGGCTTAATCTATAAAGCTGGCCGGATTGTCAAAATGCTTCCCGCTGGCATTGACATAATGTTAGCAAAATTTGACAAAACACGACCGGAATTAACATTCCACATTAAATACAACCAACCTAAACAGTTCAATCATATGTTCTACTAACGAACAAATCCCAAGTGTAATGACCGGAATTATGCATCACCCAAAAAAAATTTTGATTTGAATGATTTGAGTGGCAGTGAAGATAATTTATCTTCCAATTTATAACGATGACTAATTAAATATCGATATAACAGAACTTTTCCCGACCTATCGTTATATCGAGTTTTAACTGTATATCTAAATTGATATTAACCGATATTTCCTTTTTTAAAGTCTGAGAAAACACGTTCGAATATAGTATTCGCAAATGACATGGAAATGCAATGCACAGAATGAGATAGAAATGACATCAATGATTTCTATTTTATTGCCGTATATAATTGAAGCAGCAAATTCATGTTCATATTTCTCAACAGCCAGTGGTTCAAATTCAATAACCTACAGCTCACTGAATTAACATTTTGTTAGTTGTTTAATTTGAACCGGAGTGATACTTATTGATGAGCAAACCTTCGAATCGTGCCCAAAATTCGTCGGTCATATACGGTATCAATCTCAAGTAACAAATGACAAGATCATTTGAAATTTGAAAACATTGTTCAAATAGGATAATGATTGTAAATAAATTCTTTGAAAAAAAAATTTACGTTGAATTATTCAAAATTCCAAATAGACATCCTTTGTAAGTTCGCCAGTATTTATATATGTCACGTTCTCGACATCGACTGGTCAAAATCATGGATATTTCAACACGTCTCCGTTGTAAATTCGTGTTTACATTACGCACTTTGACGTGCTCAGAATTTATATAAAATAAATTTTTAAAAATTGTCATAAAGAACTGCTAACAGAATACATTTTATGAAAGGTTTGATCCATAAATGAAACATAAAAATGTTTCCTTTTTTTGACGTCAAACAGAAGTAAATAACTAAATTATTTGGATAGATAAACGAACGGTAAAAAAATTTACACTTATTTACTAAAAGTATTTGAGCAGTAATTAGGTTTAAGCTGACCATTCTTGGCTTTCATTCATACTGTAAGCATGCTCTTTGTATAGAAAAAAAATTAACAAAAAAAATTTTGCACATTTTTTGAATACAGTCATTCCCTCATTATAAGAACATGGTCGGGCCATAAAAATTGGTTCTTATAGAGAGTTTGTTCTTATAAAGAGGTCATTTTTATTATCAATATTAATTATTCGGTTCTCAAAATTGTGTACTTATAGAGAGGTGTTCTTATATAGCGTGTTCTTATATAGAGGGATGACTGTATTAAAAAATTTAATTGATTTTACCATCTCAATAAAACTCAGCCAATTAAAATGCGATTATTACAAATACATTATTTTATTAATAATACACAATATATACGATATATAATATTTTTTGATTTTTTGGACAAATCATCAGATAATAATTGTTATTATATAAAATCATAGGATAAATAAATATTTTGTTTATTTTTCTTTTGTATATGTTACAATCTTTTAAAAGTATCAAAATATTATATTGTTTTAGAAAAAAGAGTCAAAATCACTAATATAAAAAATAGTATAAGTGAAATTTGTAAGTTTATTATCTTGTTCCTATAAAAAAAAAACAGAAAATTCTCCAAATTAACAGCTCAGAAAAGTATCAAAAAATTAAAAAACTTGAGTTTTTTCAGAAAAAGAAAAATATTTTATATTTTCCTGAAAATATCTGTATTTAATTTGGAAAAGTCTGATAATAATTTTTAATCAGCTTTTATTAGATTTATATTAGATCTTTTTCAAATTTTTTAATACTTGAATAGGATCTTAATAATATTTCTCTCTTTTATATATATTTGACATGGATTAAAATACTAATAATTTGACTATTAGTTTTATATTTTCTTTAATATTATGTGCAAAAACAATATATTTTTACAAATTTAAATTTAAAAAGTATAATTTAGAAAAAATTAAAACAATAAGAAATGAAAATTTTTATAAATTCTTTATATTTAAAATTAAAAAAAAATAAGTAAATATAAAGAATAACTTGCAAGTTTATTATCTTAATAATTTTAATATTAATCAGAATAATATATTGATAAATTTTTGATTATGATTAATTTAATTTAATTTAATTTTCTGATATTAGTTAGAATTGTATAATTAACTTTAATTAAATTAACTTTAATCTTTCTTAATTATTACTAATATATATTAAAATTATATAATTAATTTTAATTGAATTAATTCTTTGAAGTAATAATTAAGAAAGATCAGAATTAATTTAATTAAAATTAATCATATAATTCTAATTAAAATTAAAAGATTAGATTAAATTAAATTAATCAAGATTAAGAAATCTATTAATATATTATTTTAGTAAATATTAAAAATATTATGATACTTTATTTTTTTATTTTCTTAAATTTTTATAAATATATTATTATAATTATAATAAGTAAGATCAAAGTTTTATATAAATTAGAAAATTCTTTAATCTTTTTAATTATTATTAATATATACAAGACTTGATTTTACTTATTATAATTATAATAATATATTTATAGAAATTAAGAAAAATTTAAGAAAATAAATTATTATAATATAATAAAATTATTATAATCTTTCACAATTATTAATTAGTAAATATATATAAATCTGCTTTTTTCATTTAAAAAGATTATTTTATTTAATTTTAAAAAGATTATTTTATTTAATTTTAAAATAAAATATATCAATTTTCTCTCTCACATCATTTAAATTTTTACTTTATCTTTTTCTTCTTATTTTTTATTTTTATATTATTTTTTTACTTTTTATTTTTATATTATTTTTTTACTTTTTATTTTTATATTACTTTTTTTCAAAATCTTTTCTTTAATTTTAATCTTTATCTTTAAATAATAATATGCACTCTTTTTCATATTTTTTTGATTTCTTCATTTTTATCAATCTATTCTTATAATAGCTCTTTAACAAACTCTTAATAATTAATTCATCTTTTACTAATCTTATTAGTATTATAAATTAAATATAAGTTATTTGTTATTTTTATAATTTTTTCATAATTCTAGTTTTTTTTTAGCTTTTGAAATTTTAATATGAATTTTATTTTAAAATAAAACTTTGAAAAAAAACAAAAAATATACAAATTATAAAAAGAGATATAAATATAATAAGTATATTAAAAATAAATAAAAGTATATAATAGTTCTTAAATAATATTTATAATATTTTTTTATTATTTATATATATATATTAGTAATATTTACTAGATTAAATTAAAATTTGATTTCAAGTAAATCTATTATTACAATAACAAAATAAATATATACTTCTCAATATAATTAATTAAGTAAAATTAATATTAATTTTAAAATATACAAATACCAGTTTTAAGAAAGATTTAGTTTAATTAATTATTAATTTTAATACTAATTTTTAATCTTTTTTCATTTAAAAAATGAATTTATTTTCACAAAATATTAAGATCAATTTGTAGTAATTGAAATAATTATATTTTTTTATATTTAAATAATTTTTTGATAATTTTACTTGTTTAGAATTTCTTTTCTATTATAATTAATATAGAGTAAAATATAAAGAAAAGAAAAAATAGCAATTATAAAAAAAGAAACAGATAAAGAAAATGTAGAATTTCTATCAAAAAACAAAATAATTAATATATATTTGCTTTATTTTTATTTTCTTTACTATCTCTCATATAATTATTTTTTATATTAATTATCTACTTATTATACTTTACCTTCTATAATTGTTCTATTCTATTTTTTTATATTATTATTATAATAAATATAAAAATTATTGATAACTAATTATGCTTTTTTATTTCTTTTCAAACTTTACTATAAATAAATATAATAAAATCTCTCTATAATCATGTCTATTTATAATTATATCTCTTTTTAGTAACTTTATTTTGCTTTTCTATTTACATATAAATAATTTCTCTATAGTTATATTTTCTCTATAATTATCAAATTTTACTTTTCTAAGAATGATAACTATTATTATCATTTCCATTAATTTATTATCTTTCAAATATAGATCACATGTTCTTTATATATCTCAATTAAATAGAAGAGTTATTAAAGATTTTGTATGTTTAAAATAATATTATAAGTTTGTTCACTAATTGTGAAATTAGCTTACAAACAAGAATCTAAATTGAGAGAAAATATAAACTAATAAAGAAATATTAAGAGAAATGAGAGATATCTAAAATTAATATTAATTTCTATAAAAATTGTATTTACTTAAAAAGAGATAATAATATAAAAGAGTTATAGAAGAATAATAATCAAAGGAAAAAGAGGGTATAAAGAAATAATAAAAAATATTTAAAGAGTAATTCTATACTTGCATAAAGCTTTCTAGAACTAAGATAATATAATTAATAATAATAATAACAAAGACTCTTTTACTTTATTCTTCTTATGAGTGAGAAATATTCATTAATAATTAAAATTTCAAATAACAAAAAATAAAATATTTATAATTCAATTTTAATAATTTCTAATACAACAATTTGTTTAGCATAATATGATATAAAGCTTAATAATTCAATAATAGAAATTTGTTTAACACAATATGGTCTAAATTTCAAAGTTAATAACAATAATTTGCTCAACACAATATGATATAAAGTCATTAGTGATTTGATAGATTCAATATGATATAAGCTTATTATACACAAGTTTTAAAGTATATAAAAAA